CCGACCACCCGTGTGCCATCCCAGCCAGCCTTCAAGAACCCATTTGCCGGGTGTTTCCAAGGTGGTGAGTCCACCCCCGCCAGGCTGAAAGCAAACCAGGTGGCCCCTGCAAGATTCCCGCTCCCCAGCTCCCCGCAAATCATGAGTCCTTTCGCAGAGAATCTGGACACCCCATGCTCCGCTCGGCCATCGCGCCCTTACACTCCCCACGCTCCGTACGAGCCACTGAGGGTGAGAGGGAGGAGAGGCGTGAGTTGAGAGATGCGGAAAACCTTGATTTTTGAGGAGGGCATACAGTTGCATGCCGAAGGTGGCGTGGGTGGGGGAACGCGCGACAGTTGGTGTTGTTACTTTGTCTTGTCTCGTTTTGTTGTGCCACTTGGTGCTGGACCTTGACGTGCAGCAGCAGGCTTTGCGCGAGCTTTACGAGCCCCAAGCTCAGAGCAAAACTGTCATCATGGCACCGTGACGCACCGTGCAAGACCGGCACTTGATAAGTGAAGGAGTCTAGCGGGCAAGGAGTGACAGTGTAAGGAGCAGGTGGAGAATTTTCGAGCATGCCTCCCCACATGAGCAACGTAGGTGGACTAACCAGGCTTCTTGTCGTTTCGGCCAGGTCACACACGTTGCAGAGTTCCTCCGCAAGGGGTGCGGTTGTCCAAGAATATTCTGTCTTTATTTACACCAGTCATCTTGAGTTTGTTGTTCTTTAGCCCTCGCTCCTTCGCCAATCCATGACTTCACACAACCTATGAAACATCACGCAAGCTATGGCAGGCCCAACTTCAAGTTCAGAAGACATACTGTGATTTTGTTGCCGTTGCTCATGAGGTGGATGTTGCAGCATTGCAAACTGAGGCCCCAAAGTGGGCTCATGGGCCATAGGAAGAAGAACCAGGCCGGGCCATCGACGAATCGGTGAACATGCAATGAGATCAATGAGATGTGCTAAAGATGTCCGTCGGAAGCGCCTCAGGACTTCGTGCAGGAGGCTCCCGAAACTTGGGGTGACTGCTACACGGAGGCACTTGGGTCGGCACAGTGGACACGTTGTAGCACTGATTGGAGGTGTGGAGCGGGCACTGGCGCAGAAAAAAGCATGCAATCTGACTTAGAAGCATTCTGGCGTACTCCATCAGGTTAGAGCTTCGCGGCCTTGGCTTCTACAGCTGGCCACACTAATCAAGTAGACACCTTAATTTTAACGCTACGCGACCCGCCTCGGCCCGGCCCAGCGCATCCGCGTGAGCATGGTGATTCCGCAGCGCCCAAGTCGCTGGACCCCAAGCAATAAGGGTTGGGTTTAGGGTTTAGGGTTCCGGGTTTATGGTTTATGGTTTGGGGTTTAGGGTTGAGGGTTAGTTTAGGGTTGAGGGCTTAGGGCTCAAGGTTCATGGTTTGGGGTTTAGGGTTGAAGGTTCAAGGTTCAAGGTTCAAGGTTGAGGGTTGAGACTCGAGACGGTTTGGCTTGGCTTGGATTGATCGTAAAGTTGAGCCAAGCCCTTCAAGCAAGGGGGGCGTGGCAGCGTAGGGGGGCAAGAGGGGAGCAGGGAGAGGGGGGGGGCAGGCGGGGGGGGGGGGGGGGGTTGGGGGGGGGGGGGGGGGGGGGGGGGGGGAAAAAGGGGGGGGCCCTGCCAGACCTGCCGCTGGTCCTGGCGAACCGTCCGCTTTCAGATCCTGGTCGCCCATGGGGGGTACCCTTTCCAGGTAAAAAAAGGGTCCGACAAAAGGTTTGGGTTCGGGGGAGGGGTGCCTGTTCTGACAACCTACACACCTTCGGCCCGAGGCCTCGGCGGATTGTATAGAATCCTCGATGGGTTTGAGAAGCCACCGAAGCGAATGACATGTGGCGCAGTGACTGTGCGGTCTCCATGTCTCCATGATGCTTCATGTCCTGGAGTGTCTGTGCGGGTAAGCCCTGCCGTCAGGGTTCGGCTTGGCACCACTCGTTTCCACCATTCGACCTAGACACCCTCATGGCATCTTGACAAGCTGGTCGCATCACGCAGATGTATCATGATCGGCACGCTGCGTGTTGCGGTTGCGGCTTGTCTCCTCTGATGACCGAGGAGTTGCATGGCGGCCGAGACAAGCTCACCCAGAAGCTAGATGAGCTTTTTACTGTCCCTGCCAATTTCAAGACTGGTTCCTACAAGGACAGGGCTGCGTATAATGATGCATCCACAAAAGCCATAGACATCCGCAATCCGTGAGTCTCGTAGTTGATACATTTGATATTCCGGGCTGCCGACCGCAGGGTTGGAAGCATGAGCAGATGTGAGCAGATGTCAGCAGCACCGACATCACACCATGGTAGGGCATCAAGCGCAAAAACTCGGGGTGACTGTCGACTGCAAGCCTGCGAGAACGAAATCCATGAAATGCGGGAGATGCGAATGCTCGGCATGGGTCGCTTGGTGGAACTAGGGGGCGCTGCACGATCGTTCATGCTGCAATATGCTGCAGATTGCTGCAGGATGATTTGGTGATCGCCGTGTGCCAGTATACCGAGGCCAATATGCCCACAACAACCAGCCTGCTCATCACCTGCCGTGCCTTGGCTTCCTGGAGGAGGTTTCTTGAATCTTGTGTGCGATCCTGCTTTCGGGCTCGGTGACCGGCAGTGTCAAGCAGTGGTAGGCAGTGACAAGCAGAGCGGAATCCAGCGGCTAAACGTCGATGTAAACCATGTAACCCGGTGCGACCAAGGTATCTTTTTGCCATGCTTGGCGACCAGAACACCACGGCGAAGCTGGTTTGCTGAGCTGCAATTTAGGCCAACGACGGTCGAGTAGCTAATGCTCTGATGCCTGGGACAAGCAGATCAAAGGTTCGACAGATTCTTACTCGCGCGTATTCTCCAGAAGGCTACGCTGGGGATGAGGACAATGGAGAGATGGGATCCTGGTATGTGCTGAGTGCGCTGGGACTGTACCATCCGGATGCTCGGCCGCGCTTTTAGGTTTTGGTCACTAGTCACCAGCAGCCAAGGCCCAGAAACCTACGAGAAAGGAGTGTGCTTAGTTTTCAATGCTATGCAATGCTATATGCGTCTTGTTCGTTGTGAACTCTGAGTTGAAGGCTGCTGCCAGGATACTTGCAGGGGATGTGCTTCAGCTTAATTGTGTGTCGGATTGCGCTTCTTATCACTTTGAATGTTGAGGCCCCCGGTGTATCTGAAAACTACGTGCTGGGTGCAGTGCCGCTCTTCAAGCGAGTGAGGTCCGGGGCTCGTTGACTTCGCAGATGTTCTTGCAAGTGCTGCTGTGCATGCGACTCTCACCCTGATCTTCAGTCCTGATTTCCTTCAGCTCAGAGATGCTCAGAGATGCTCAGAGATTAGTTAACATGAAAGGAAGTATAGAGTGAAGTATGGAGTATAGAGTTGTTCACAGTTACGCAACAAGCGCCCTCCCCCGCAAACGAAGGAGCAACCCCACGCTTACATTCCATGAATCAACACGGAGTGAACTAAGTCACTAAGTGCTTGCAAAGAACTTGGATTCCCAGGGCCCCATCTCAGAGCGATTCCACCAGGCTCCATGAACTGGACATCACCATTGAGGCGCCCAGCGCTATCGAGGCCTCGCCAGCCATCAAGGAGCGCTGAACATCACCAAGCCCTGAAGCAAGACCCGTACAGCTAGAATCCGAAGATTCATAGTTGAACTGTGATTGGGCCGTAGCTTGCGTTGCAGAGACTGTTGAAGAAACATGATTCGGCTCGCAAATGCTGGAGACGTATAGTGTTGCTGAGTCTAGCTGCAAAGTGAGAATCTGTCGCGAGGAAGTCGTGTGGCATTCCCGACTTCTGCCTGGAACCATTGCCTACTCTGAGCTCCGCCTCTTGAAGTCAAGAAACGCAGATACGGAAACAAACTAATTCGCCGCGTGCGATGCTTAGCAAGAGTCCAGTCGTTGAATGTGATTTGCATGACTGCAATTGTGCCAGCGAGATCAACGGGCAGTTGTTCCCATGCCCAAAGAGACGGTCCGGAAGCATCATTTGGTTGATGTGATGAGGTTCAGGTGGCGTGCTGCGCTTCGTTTCCCCCGGTGATGCCAGTCTAGGCAAGATCGCACCTTTGATTTCACAGAACGGATTCTTGATGGTTTGTTGCTTCGCATTTCGGCAGTTTGCCGTCGGGCCATGTTCGGGCTTGGGGCTTGCACTTTGACAGTCCCCGTCGAAAGTCTGCGTTGAGTAGCGTGACAGACAAGGTTTCCAATGTTCGTGGTGCCATCCACCAGGCCGCTCGACAGGCTACTTGGGCCAAGTTTGCCAAGATCACCTAGGATTCAAGAGATGCCAAGAGCATAAGATAGCACAAGGTTCGTGAATCTGCCGAACGTGCGGTGGCGTCGCCAAAGTTGCGGGCCCCCAGCATCGTGGGCGAGGTGATCATGGAAGAAGCCTTGGAGAAGGCAACCGAAGCCTTAGTTGGCACGCATCTCTAACGCTGTTGCCGAGCACGGCAGGCAGCAACTCCACCGCCAGGGGGGGAGGAGCACTGGGGGGGCATCAAAACAGAAGACATGCGCCACAATCCGTGTGCTCTGTGTGTGTTGGCCCCGCAGGAAGACATACCTGGCTCGAAGCTACCTGTGCTGCTGGCATCAATGGGGCTTGTTGCGCTGGTTTACCAGTGCCTGCGGCAGCGCTGCCGCGACGTGAAGCATAAGGAATGAATGAGCTCAAGAGATCGATACGTGTTGCAACAGCGCAGATTAGTCTAAATTCGACAGCCACATCCGAAAGACACTAGCAGAGAAATCATTAGAGTCCCACATTCGAGTCAGCACTTCTGTTAACACACCTCTGCCTCTCGGGCATGTGTCGATGCCAAGCAAGACATGGCGCAATGCAATCAAAATTTGCGCTCTACCACAGCCACATGTCTTCTTTGTTGATTCTCGAGCCTAGCAGCCGCTTTTGTTCTCCACGTTCCACTACATTCCTTCCTGCTTACCACCGCTGCATGATGTCGTGATTGTGGCAGATATCAGCACCACCAACATGTGGCTCTTTGACGCTGACGGCAAGATCCAGAGATATGACAGTCCCGAGGTGGGCTGCTCCGCTGCGTTGTGTTCGCCGGATCCGATGTCCGAGTGAATGAGTTGAGAGTTTTCAAAGTGCAGTTCTTCGCTCTGAAGGAAATCATCCAAGCCTTCTTCCCTGTCCGCTACCATGTCTACGAGCGGAGGAAGGCCGAGTGAGGGTCAAGTCCGAAAAAGTGCTTTTGAGTCGAGACGCCTGAGTCGAAAACAGACAAGCCCCTGAGTCGACAACGCCCAACACCTCGGACCGCTGAGTCGAAAACGCTCCGGACGCCCCCCACAGAAAGCACCCTGGGACCCGCGACTTGAAGGGTTTTTCAGGTTGACCTGGGGTCTGACGTTTCAGGGCTTGTTGAGGGCTTATGGTCTTGTGGCCCCCGCCACTTTCGGACTCATGCCTTCCTGTTTTCTGACTCCATCTTTTTGGTTTTCCGACTTGGTCCTTCCACTGTCCTTCCCGTTTTCGACTCGTTTTTCTCATTTTGTCCCGACCCTTACCCGGAAGAAGGCTTGGCAGCATGCTGTGCTCGGCTTTACGAGTCTTCCGCCGCCGCTCACTCTGATGTTTAGGCTTACCTCGTGGACAAAATGGAGCGAGAGCTTGCAGTGCTCTCCAACAAGTGCTTTGATCTGATTTCAGTGGACCCCAGCCGACCCAGCTTGAATTGGAGCTGTGCCATTTCGGAAGGCGTAGATACAGTGCCAGCACGTTGTTCACATTGATGGATAGCCATGTCAGGCTTTTCTGCAAGCAATGTCGCACACCAGGGAAAGATCAACATGGAGCACGATCCCGCCGTAAAGGGAGGGGGGACCTCTTGCAGTGATCTACGACCTACCAAGGCTTCGCTTTGTGGAGCTCGTCGTCGGTGACAGGCCCACTGTCCTTGTTGTTCAACGTTTCAAAGTGCTTCAGAAACAGGATCTTTCAAGTACTGTAGAGCTAGTTTTGACAGTGTTGTCGTGTCTATGCAAGCAAAGCGCACATGTCCGCCTCAGCTCGAGTGACGCGATTTACTTTCCCCCACATGCTCTACAGTGTCCTCATCTAGACATTGTCTAGGACTAGGACTCGGAGAGACAATGTGCGACCACGGCAATACCTGTTGGTCAACCTCCTCAGTGCCACAGGTTCTCGAGGTCTCGTTAACAAAAAAGATTCGTATGGCTTAGAGTCCGCAGTTCTCTCATTTTCTCACTGGGCGTTGGAACTCAGGGTTTGGTCCCCGCACTTATCGTCTCAGCATCGAAGAAGAACTGCATAGGAAGCATGTTTGCATAACTGTCCGCGATGCTGTGATGGTAGGCATTTTGTCCTTTCTTGTCCAAACATGCCGCGCTGCAAAAAGTGTTGTGATGTGTTGTGTCCTCCCCGGGCCAGGCCAGGCGCTTGGTAAACAAACATCAACACTTGCTAACAGCAGGGGCCGATCTAACATGGTCATGTTGATTCCAGAGGTGGCAATGCTTGCAATTGCAATGATGCTGCATGATGGGCTGGGCAACTTCTCTGAGAGGAACGTAACGACTCAGCCTGCTGCAGAATTGGCTTCAGTTCGGCAGTGGCAGGTTGGATGTGGAGAAGAAGCGCATGGTGGACCTTTGTGGCAAGATGCGGAAACTTGGTCTGGAGCACATGTGCTACGCTCAGCATCATGCGTCGATGTGAGTCGTGAGGTGTCCAATGAATAAAGGATAGCCCTTGCAGTGGGAGGTGCCAGATCAAGGGCGAGGGCTCGGTGAAGGTGGGCACAGAGGTGCAATGCAACTTGTGACTTGATGGGCAGATGTGAATCATTGTGAATCCACTCATTGCAAAGTGCAGAGCGTTGAAAGGATCTGTCAGAGATTGGGTGAGGCTACTAAAGAGGGACGTTTTGGACCCACATCATTGCTGTATGTGCTTGGCCATGACTGACTTTCAAACTGGCTGGCGTTTTGGCTTGGTCCATGCTTCCATCCACAGGTCCTACTTCATAGCTGGTAGCCGGCTTGTAGCCTAGCAAAAGATGCTAGCACCACGCAAAGGCCCCAGGGCTATATGGGCGCTTTCAGTGATTGTCACTCCTGAGCCGGAGCGTGGCGGCGTGGCAACAATGTGCATGCAGGCCTGGAGCTCATGTGCAGAGACGTGAGCTCTCATGTGCCAAGACGTGCCAAGATGTTCCAAGATGTGCCATTCTGTGCCATGATGTCTGTGCGATCTATGAAATCTGGAATCCTAAGGCTCCCAGCGCGCAGCGGATCGCAAGCATTCTGCGGTCTGAGGAATCCGTGTCCAGAGCGCTTGTCCAGACTCATGTTCTTTCACTGCAATTCGCTGCCATCGCCTGAGAAGGAGTCATGGGTCGCACCACCGACGTCTTTAGTCGTTGCCTTGGTGTGGCGCTCTACGGATCCCAGCAAGTTCGTGTGATCGTCTGCTCAGGATCTTGCTCACAGCTTAGTGCTGAAGCATCGTCAACTTGTCGACCCCTCACTGCCAGCAACTCAGGCCAAAACAGGTAAAACAGAAGACAAACCGGTCCTGACGGTAGAAGGTTGCCTCCCAGACACGGGTGCATCAGAGCGCAGACGCTCACTTCACCGAACTTGTCTAGTCAGTGCTTGCAATTGAACTCGAACACGTTGTCGTCCTGTTGCTCGGATTGCTCGGTCTCCTGCTGTGGGTTCTCTGCTAATGGAAGATCTTCAGCAGTTAGCTCTTCATAAAAGACGCGTTCACACCAGTCCGAGATCGGCCTGCTACTGCTCGAATGCCTCCACATCTGTGATTTCTCTCGCCCTGGCAAATGCTCAGAACCAGAACAAGCTCTTTCAACTACAGATGCAAATGGCTTACAAGGTTGGAGAACTCACCGTTAAGCGCTTTCCCTGGTGCTACGAGAAGCAAATGCTGCTGCACATCAGTGGCTCAGACCTCTGAATGAAGTGTGATGCGGGAATGCTGTGAGTTGTTTTGTCTCGATGTAAAAAAAAGTCCACCGCATTGCTTCCAAGCCACGGGTGCATTAGAACATAGACGCTCACATCGTCGGACTTGTTTGGTCAATGCTTGAAGCGAAGGAAGTGCGCCCAAGCTGTGAAACCGGTTGGGGGCACCCCGGGGATTCTCTGAAAATACCCTTGGGGTTGAGCACTCCAAGGGTTCTCTGGGGACACAGTGGGGTTGGGCACTCCAGGTATTGTAAACGCTTGCGCGCGCCGCCTCGGCAGCCGGGCCGGCCCCAGGACAGGAAAGGAGGAAAGAGGGTTTCGTTAAAGGGGGGGTGGGGGGGGAGGTGGGGGGGGTCGGGGGGGGGGGGGGTGGGGGGGGGGTAGGGGGGGGGGGGGTAGGGGGGGGGGGGGGGGGGGGGGGGGGGGGGGGGGGGGGGGGGGGGGGGGGGGGGGGGCGGTTTGAGGAATTTCCCGGTTTTTGAGGAATTTCCCTGTAGGAGCACCGAGAGGCAGGACCCTCCACGGCGTCGGTTTGCAGCTCCTCCAAGCGATTGGGGGGGGGGGGGGGGGCGGGGGGGGGGGGGGGGTGGCGGGTGGCTCAGAAAATCGCGATGGGGGAAGGGTTGGGTTAGGGGGAAGGAGGCCCGATCCGGGTCTGCTTGTTCCAGACGCTTCTCGGCAGGAAGCCGAGGCGAATTTTTCTGGGGATACTTTGAAGTTGGGCACTCCATGGGGTTGGGCACTGCGGGCACTCCAGGGATTGTCTGGAGACATGCCAGTGGGCACCGCTGGCCACTCTAGGGTTTCTTTGGGATACTTTGGGGTTGGGCACTCCAGGGATACGCTGGGGTGGCATACGGGTGATGGGCGAGGAGTAGACTGGGCGAGGGGAGGAGTTTAGTTTAACAAGCCCCACACCAAGGGCAGGGAACAGTTGTTGTGACTGCCCTCGGCCCTCGCCTGTCCTGTGCACTAGCGCCTGCAGTTGGCTCTTGATGCACAGCGACAAGAGCCATAGATGCCTGGGCTCCAGACCGGCCCAGGCAGTCGCCGGTCGCACAAAGGCTCACTGTGCCTCCAGCCGGGGACTGACTGTACCATTTGACGGTGCGGTACAGCTCAGACTGAGATAGTTTCGACATGTAGATGTACATCGAACAGCATCGCCCATTTTCTGTCTCAGACCAGACATGACAGGCCGGATCTCTAATTCACAAGGGCCTGCGCATGCTGTGATGCAACGCGCATACCTAAACATTGTTCGTTTGCAGTCGTGTAGCAGCAACACCATTTTGTAGATGACAGACCGTAGCCTTGCAGATGCCTTGCAGAAGCCGGGAGGGAGTATGCGAGAGCAGGCAAGCAGCATGTGGTGTCAGATGACAGGCTACAGTCAAACATCAATATCGCACATATCGCAGCCGCATGCAAACTGAAGTTGCAGCAACCTATCGCTTTTTCCCAGAGTGTGCAATGGCGGTCGGCTCGTAGCAGCCTTACGTCTCATGGATGTGGTGCCCGAGGTCATTGAGCCTTGGTCTGCTCCCCCACGATTGGGTCGGGCCAGTGAGGGAGGGGGGGTTAGGTGTCCTGATCTCGGAACTACGTACGTTTCAAGAAAGGGCGCCACGTGGCCGAAGTGGAGCCCGCTTTTGCTGACCATTCAGTGAAGACTTGTAAGGGTAGCCTTGCCGGATTTCTTTCTCTGACGGTTCGTTCCATCAAACTCCTACAGAGGGAATAGAGGCCCCTTAGCCAAGAAATCAATGGATGCACGAGGTTTCCCTCTGAAACCCCGGACCCCGAAGCAAAACACAATCATTGCGGCGGGGTGGGGGGGGTGCTGGTGCTGCGCCCGCTTCGATAACAGGGAGATTTTGGATGTTTTCATGTTGAAATACGCCGCAGGTAGAGGTTGTCCTTCCACAGTTTGAAGGAGAAGCGGTTATCCTTTCACAAAGAGGAAACAGAGGTTCAACCCAATGTAATGGAAGCCGCTCATGAAGTAAGCTTTTGATAGAGGGTTCGTCTTCCACAAATTTCACAACTCGTGCCACATCTGCTTGAGTGCATCTCAACAAAGTACCTCTGATGACTCTGGGCAGACCGGAATCTTTTCTGCAAGCCGAGGAGCAGGAGGCATCGGGCAGCATATGCCCCCTCCTGCAAGACTCGCGTGAATTAGGGGAGAGGACTGGCTGCGAAGGGAGCACTTGCCGATGTGCCTTGGTTCAGACTGGTTCGGGTTTGGCTCGGCTAGGCATGCAGAGCCGCTGGCATAAAGGCCAGTACTTTTTGAAGGATTGGCGGCGGTTTTTTTGATTTTGCGACTTGGTATGGTCAAACCATTCAACCGTTGTTTGCGAGTGCATGTTCTGATGCTCCTCTCGTGAGGCATGGAGAAGCAACGCTGTTGGCATGGGTTTCCGGGCTGAACACCGGCTCAGTGCCGCTGAGTCGTTGCCGTATGGAATGCTTTGAGAACGATTGAAATCCTGCAGCCTAAAAAGGGCTTGAATTGCACATTGCGAGACAAATCCGCAGCACCGAACAGACGGCGATGACCATGAGCCGAGGGCAAGAGGCTCCAACAGCCCGGAGCCGGAGGTGCCTTGATTGCTTCGAGAGGTACCGCAAGACAAGGTCATTTCGACACGGCTTCATTTGTTTATCTCTGCCCTTTGTGATGTTTTCATGATTATCGATTACAGTGGCTTGCTGATAGGGGAAATCTGAGCCCATTGGCCCACACCCAAGGTTGCGCGAACTCGCGACAGAGTTTTCTGCAAAGCGCGAGTGAGCAACCTGTCTAATATCGAGGACTGAAGCAGTGGGGACAGAAGCAAGCAAGGAAAAACTGGACGAGGTACTAGAGCATGGTAGTGAATCGGAAGATGCGCGCAAGGGCTTGTTGTCCACGGAACTGCAGTAGCACTTGCTCCTTCTTGACGGGGATCCAGGAAGTGTCAGTTCAGCTGCTTACAAACTACATAACAAACCTCCAGACACAAGAATCGGAACGCTGTCTCGCTTTGTCCTGAGTGATTAGCATCTTCGCCAGCTGCATGCTTGATTCCAACCCACCAAGGACCCAACCCACAGTGCACCCCGCACCCGCACCTCCTACCTCGCACCTTCATCTACACCCACTGACACAAATCATTCCTTCCACACCATGCTCACAGTTGCAAGGCGTCTGCTTTGAAACCACACACACACACACACGTGGGATCATTTAGATGTTACTCAGTCCTTTTGTTTTGCTGGCGTGATTGGGTGGCACATGGTGGCGCACTGCCCCACTCTCTTTCATTGTCATACAACATCATGTGCCGGAAGCAGCATGTAAATGCTGCGTCTTGCTCATCCTTCCTGCAGTTTTAGGCGTGACGCATGTGGACGTGAAGACTGGAAAATTCCAGGCCCATTGCACTGTCGTGTTATAACGAATTCAACTTCGTTGTAGTTTCAACTCGGTCAATTCTGGGAGTCCGGCAGCGTCATGCTGCACTAGACTAGGCCATTCATTGCATTGAAGGTTCGCATGCTTTGTCAGTGGGCATGGCGGACAGCCAATGCAAAGAATGAGACTTGGCGCATTCAGACATTTGTCTCTTTCGCCCTTGATTGTGTTGTGTTTTCCCCATAGCAACGGAAAGCTTCCACCAAGGACACAGAAATAAGCTGCCGAGGCGTCCCGGGCGTCAGAGTCCCAGGCTGGCATGCGACACATGCAAAATGGGAACAGCTGCAGAGTGGAATGCTTCTTCGATGCGACTGGAGTGCTTGTGACTTCAGCCTGCCTTGTGTCAGGCCTCCAGATGGAGGTTCAGGAGTCCCGTGTGTGGAAAGATTTAAATGATACCGAGAGCAGCATAAAGAGTCTCGGATTCGACCATCATTAGATCCTACTGTGTGTGTGGTCCTGGGTGCTTGCAAGCAGTGAGTCAGTCTGTAGGAGGTCTAGCAGTTCGCGTGCTTTCGGTCACCGCCAAAATCTGGAAAGCATAAATGGCATAAATGCTTTTGTGACTTTGTAGACTTAGTGGACTGTAATCGCTTTGTATTTTTGCTTTGACTGACTTCTCGAGTGCAACATGCGGCCCGAGGAACAGAACCATTTTCTGGCGCGGCAGCTCGATTTTCTGGATGTGCTTTGGCGCCATAACATATCCAAGGACAATCGGATAACCATTGAGATCTTGTCTACCCTTGTCATCTTGTCATTCAGCAGTCCACGGAGCCTAGGACCGGGTTCAAGAAGTACCCAGTCAGCGAATTTCCTTTCGACAGGCACGTGATTTGCTTGCCCGCGTCTGAGCCTGGCGAGATGTCAGCTTGCCGAGTTCGGTGTCGCATGCGAGATCATGCGTGATCATGCGAGTCTGCGGCTAAGGCAACAAATAGACTTTGTGTGGCGTGTCCACCGTGATGACGACACCTTCTACGATTCCATGCAGCTCGGTTTTCGAAGCAATGCGAAGCCTTTCATCTCAGATATTGTCAGATGTTTGGTCAGATAAGGAAGGTTGCCTGGCTGCCTGGCTGCAGTGCCCCACTCGTTCTTGGCATCTTGCATCTTCTTGCATGTTGTAGCCTTTGATAGCTGTTTGTGTAGTGACGTGTAAGAGCTGCGGAATCTTGCGGCATGCAGCTTGCAGGCTAGATATTGAGACGTCCTCCGTGCTGGCAGATCCTTGGACAGCGTACCGGGCATTAGGGGAAACATGCGGGAGAACGCATTGTTCGGTCGCATGAACCTCAGGAGTGGTCTCCGCTTCCTGCAACTGTGCACCCATGCGATGATGGGGAGAAGCTGGCGAACTCAGACGTCAAAGGCCACGACATGGGCATCAGATACAATCCCCTCCCCCTAAGACTAAAACCCCTCCCTCCCCCCCTAAATCTGAAATTCGCCTCGGCCGGAAAGATATTTAAAATTTGGGGAAACCTGAAATCCGAAGCCTAGACCCCAAAGCCGAAGTCGAGAGAGTCGCAAGCCCTAAACCCTAAACCCTAGTTACTTAAACCCTCTAGGCCTTGAGCCCTAAACCCTAATCACCTAAACCCCGAAACCCTAATGGCTCAACTCAAGGACGGGGGATCCCTCTGTCCGACATGCAAATTGGGGGTCCGACATGCAAGGTTGGGTTTTCGAGATGCAAACTTTCTTGGGGTCCGACATGCAAAGGTAGGTTTTCGAGATGCAAAAGCGGTAATTTCTGGGTCCAACCGGCACAGGTGGGTTTTCGAGATGCAAACTCCCGATTTCCCGTAAAATTAGTAAAATAGTAAAATAGTAAAATAGTAAAATAGTAAAATAGTAAAATAGTAAAATAGTAAAATCTGGGTCGGACCGGCACAGGTGGGTTTTCGAGATGCAAACGGTTGAGCCCGTGGAGGAAATCCTATTAACAGTAAAGAGAGAGGGAGGAATTTTCTCTGGATTTCGCGCGAAATCAGGAAAAGGGCAATTTCTGGGTCCAACCGGCACAGGTGGGTTTTCGAGATGCAAATTCCCGATTCCCGTAAAATTAGTAAAATAGTAAAATAGTAAAATCTGGGTCGGACCGGCACAGGTGGGTTTTCGAGATGCAAACTGCTGAGCCCGTGGAGGAAATCCAATTAAAAGTAAAGACACAGGGAGGAATTTTTCTGGATAATATAATCCTGGTCCGACATGCAAGGTTGGGTTTTCGAGATGCAAACTCCCGATTTCCCGTAAACCTAGTAAAATTAGTAAAATAGTAAAATAGTAAAATAGTAAAATAGTAAAATAGTAAAATAGTAAAATCTGGGTCGGACCGGCACAGGTGGGTTTTCGAGATGCAAACTGCTGAGCCCGTGGAGGAAATCCTATTAAAAGTAAAGAGACAGGGAGGAATTTTCTCTGGATAATAGAATCCTGGTCCGACATGCAAGGTTGGGTTTTCGAGATGCAAACTCCCGATTTCCCGTAAAATGAGTAAAATAGTAAAATAGTAAAATAGTAAAATAGTAAAATAGTAAAATAGTAAAATCTGGGTCGGACCGGCACAGGTGGGTTTTCGAGATGCAAACTGCTGAGCCCGTGGAGGAAATCCGATTAAAAGTAAAGAGACAGGGAGGAATTTTCTCTGGATAATAGAATCCTGGTCCGACATGCAAGGTTGGGTTTTCGAGATGCAAACTCCCGATTTCCCGTAAAATTAGTAAAATAGTAAAATAGTAAAATAGTAAAATAGTAAAACAGTAAAATAGTAAAATAGTAAAATAGTAAAATAGTAAAATAGTAAAACAGTAAAATAGTAAAATAGTAAAATCTGGGTCGGACCGGCACAGGTGGGTTTTCGAGATGCAAACTGCTGAGCCCGTGGAGGAAATCCAATTAAAAGTAAAGACACAGGGAGGAATTTTCTCTGGATAATAGAATCCTGGTCCGACATGCAAGGTTGGGTTTTCGAGATGCAAACTCCCGATTTCCCGTAAAATTAGTAAAATAGTAAAATAGTAAAATAGTAAAATCTGGGTCGGACCGGCACAGGTGGGTTTTCGAGATGCAAACTGCTGAGCCCGTGGAGGAAATCCTATTAAAAGTAAAGAGACAGGGAGGAATTTTCTCTGGATAATAGAATCCTGGTCCGACATGCAAGGTTGGGTTTTCGAGATGCAAACTCCCGATTTCCGTAAAATTAGTAAAATAGTAAAATAGTAAAATAGTAAAATAGTAAAATAGTAAAATAGTAAAATAGTAAAATAGTAAAATAGTAAAATAGTAAAATAGTAAAATATTAAAATCTGGGTCGGACCGGCACAGGTGGGTTTTCGAGATGCAAACTGCTGAGCCCGTGGAGGAAATCCGATTAAAAGTAAAGACACAGGGAGGAATTTTCTCTGGATAATAGAATCCTGGTCCGACATGCAAGGTTGGGTTTTCGAGATGCAAACTCCCGATTTCCCGTAAAATTAGTAAAATAGTAAGATAGTAAAATAGTAAAATCTGGGTCGGACCGGCACAGGTGGGTTTTCGAGATGCAAACTGCTGAGCCCGTGGAGGAAATCCTATTAAAAGTAAAGAGACAGGGAGGAATTTTCTCTGGATAATAGAATCCTGGTCCGACATGCAAGGTTGGGTTTTCGAGATGCAAACGGCTTGGTGCCATGCATCTCGGGCGCGCGCTTTGCATCTCGAAAACCCAACCTTGCATGTCGGACGCCGTAGTCCCCTGGACGGAGGCCCTCAACCCCCCCCCCCCCCTAATTCTCAAACAGGTTTAGTATTGGGCAGGGTACCGGGAGGGTTCGCGAAAAATGATGGTTAAAAAATTAGGGTGGGGTTTAGTATTAGTATTAGGGATTATGAGGGGGAAGCGATGAGGGATCGCAACGATTTGTCAGGGTTGGGGGGGCCGAGAAGGCCGCGTTTCCGAACAGCCCTTTGACAGGTTCCAACCTGCCGTTTGCAACCAAGTTTCAAATCCGCTTGCGGATTGAGCGCAAGCATGGGTTTTACGTGCCAATGCCGCATTTTAGAACCACAGCACCACTTTGTGACTTTGTGCAAGTTGTGAGGCCATCATTGCCTCCCCCTTTTTTGCATCTTGAAGAATCCGAAGAACAAGAAGCTGCAGAGTCATGCAGAGTCCATGCGACGAATGACGCAGAACAAGGGTGGAGCATTTTGCAAGCTGTCCGAGGTGCGGCAGATCCTTGTGATCTCAACTCTGCCACCGGGCAGAGTTTTGCTGTTGTCAACACAATAACATCGCTGACAGGATGTGAGTTGTGAAGCTAAGTGCTCCATGAGAACACGCTCTAAGCGGAGTTGGGAGTGAGACACCACAATCGCAACGCAAAGAGACAAATCCAACAAAGAGTCCACGTTGCGTTTGCACCCTCCATGTTCAGCATGCACAGGTGTCGCTCTTGTGCAAAGCCCTGTTAAAACAGTTCCCTTTGTTTCCCTTAACAAAGAAACTTGGGAACGCAAGGATTACGTTGAGCTCTTGCTCGCCGTTGGCAATGCCCCCAACAGAGGAGAGGGCAGAAGCGCAAGACTTCATGATGCTTTTCAAGATCGTATGCTAGGCCTCGGGGACAACGGTGAGTGGAGCTGACTGAGGTCCACACGCAGATCGCAACAGAATCAATACCGTTTGCTTATCCATGTCTCCATGTCGATTGAGTTCAAGCGCGCAGGACCACATGGGTGACCGTCTTTCCGTCTATGGTGGAGGAGTCGGCGAGAAGGGCTGGTTTTTCGCAATACGGCCAGCAGCACCTAGACATGAGAAGAGTCAGATGAATGTCCGGATCGACAGCAAAGAGAGGACTGTTGACTCTGGTGGCGTTTAAGTACGGTGCCTTGGGCTGCACGCAGCCTGACATTGTTGATTTGGTAGCGAATGCGTTTGTGCCTGAGGATAGAACTGATCCCGCCCTTTAACATGCCCATTATACCCCCCATATGTCAGATTGGAATCTCCTTGGTAAACAACGCCAAAGCTCATGCAGGATTTGAACATAAGCGTTCAGAAGCCCCTCCAGAACAGGCGGATGTTCTGTTTAGGTGTGGGACTGTGTGCTTGCCTCCGTCTGAGCGCAAGAATCCGAAAGGAGAGTGGATGCTGAGCTCTGCAATTTCCTGAAATGACCCCAAACTTCCTGAAACCGAACTGCAAGATGAACCAGCGCGCACCCTTGGCCCCTGAACATGCAAAGCGCGTGCGTAAGAATCTAGGAATGATGTAAGCTTATTTTGGCAATGGTTTGTTTGTGCTTTGGTCGGACTGTCACTTTAAGATGATATCCAAATTGTGCCATGAAACGCAAGAATCACGCTTGCAACCACGGGTATTCCGTGCTTGGCACCGAAGAAAGTGGGGACATGAACGGATATTCGCTCTGAATTTCTGGTGAGGGTTCTATGCACTTCTGGCTTCTGGTGAGTCAGATTCCGAGACAGGCATCATGGATCATTTGCCAAGCGTTCCCTACTCCACCTTCACCGCAGCTTGGCAACCAGACCACAAGCGAGGGATATAATATTACATGCAGAATTTCAAGGGTGCTCTCGGCGCCAATGCTTGACATGTTTCATGTCCACTTCACGGAACTAGGGAAGTCTTTTGACAGCTGGTGCTGCTGATGGTTGCAAAGGACGACTTCCTCATGGGCCAAATCATCACCATTGCGTTCTGCATTCTTGAGTGCTTGGTGGTCTACAGGCTTGCGTGGATTGGACAAACTAAGCTCAGTACAAGGCAGCACGGGGCCCCCTGAAGGTACACTTTGGTCAAGACTTGGATTGACGAGTTGGAGAATTACTTTCTCGTCATTCTGGGAATCGGCTGGGGCTCCCTGCTGCTGCTTGGCACACCCCAACCTCAGGGTCTTCGAGTTGGGTCGGAAAAGGGAGACAGGTATGAAGGAGTAGTCTGAGAAGAGGTCTTTCTGGAAATTGCTGTCAGCAGTCCGGCTGCTTGTGCTATGGCGGAGCGGTGAGTGGTGTTATTGCGGTGCAGAAGTGTTTCAGATCTGTTTATTGTGGTAATTTCGGGTTCTTATGTGTCCTAAGGGGACTCTGCAGAGAACTGCAGTCTGAGGAGTTACGCCTGGTTTTTCAAGCCGACCATGCGGAGCAAGTGGTGCAGAGTGCATGAGGAGCAGATGGACGACTTTGAGCTTGCACAGGAGTCGAGTTTTGTTGTGCTTGTCTATGGGCTGTGTCCGGCTGTATTTGTCTGGGCTCGGGCTGAGGCATGGTACCGAAGCAGCGTTCTTGTCTCTGTAGTGTCTATGACATATTCAGAGGAACCGTGCGAGGGTTGCCTAGAGACGAAGAGGGAACATGCGAAATGTTCTTGATGTCGATAGCTGCATCTTTGGGGTTGACGCGAGGGCCTTTAGGGGATGGCTCGCAGTCTCATTTGGCAGGCAGACCCAGTCTTTCCCAGCAAGAGCTCTCGAAGCCTTTTCGACCGTCTGGAACTTGGAGGAACTACGTAGGACTTGCCATAGGTTTTTTGCTGACTGCCTCGCATACTTCTGCACACACTGCGGCAGAGCTCTTCATTTCTTGCATTATTCAAGCCATTGGCCGACAGGTGCCTTGCACACATCGCTCGCTGTTGCCCGTTCAGACTGAGTAACCTGACATGTACTCTGACCTCGAGACATCGAGAGCGATCCCAGCCAATAGTGAATCAGTTCGTTCTAAGACTAAGCAGCCCTTAGCCGTACCACTATTCGGACCTGAAAGGGTATGTTTTACCACATTTTACCCGCGTCTCCTGTTGAGGTGTGGATTGCACGAGTCCGTCACGGGCTCAGTTTGCCAAATGCTTGTGAAGCTGTCAGGCAAGAAGATTGGAGGCAACGACTGCAGCTAGAGGTCAAACGCTGGGGATCAACAAGAAGGACCGTGAAATCAGTGAATGGCTTGGGCCCGAGTGTGGGAGCAGTCAAGCGCACCGACTGTTGTTGTGAGTGAGGTGATGATACGCTTGCTTGCATCGGTTGAATGTGCATGAACTGAAGGCCACGGCATGAGTAGCTCCAACGGATTCTTCGTGAGTGCTTGGAGAACTCCATGTTCTGAAATGGCCGAGCGTTGCCTGCCAGGGTTTCTCTTGTGCCTTGCTTGGCACAGATAATGTCTGCATAAGCCAAAGTGCTGTGGTGCTCCGCACCACCTTGGAAGAAAGGGCATGCAGAAGCGCATGCGATGTTCGTCGGCTAAGTCGCAGTAGCATCCAGCAAGTGGATGGTATCACGAGGTCAGCATTTACCACATGTTGCTCAGCGCAGCTGAAGCTGCTGCTTGACGCGGAGAGAGCTGTATTGCAAAATTCGCACGACCTGTGTTGCCGATCTGCTCTTTTTTTGTGGGCACCTTGCAGTCAGCATCCAGGCCGTGCTTTCTTTGCCAGACGTTTCTGCGGAGCAATGCGGAGCATGTTTCCACGAGGCTGCTGCTTTGGTGCAGATTCCCTTGGCAGGCACAGCCGAGGCGAAGGCCCAAGACGGCCCAAGCTGACGCTTCATTTGAGTTCGTTTTTTCATGTCTCTTCACGGGAACGCCCTCTGCACAAGTTTGCACACCTCTCATCACCTCTCCCAACAGATCCTTGGAACTCCGTCGGAAGCCCCCAAGCTTTTGTCAGCCGGCAGATTGCACAGCTGGCCGAACGTGTTTCTGTCCTCGTGGCCTCGTTGCAACGACGCTGTGATGAAGACAAGGAGGAGTGTGCTGTCATTGTCATGCCTTTGTGCCACGCTTTGTCTTCTCGTTTCTGCCATGCAACCACGCTGTAGGAAAGATCTTGATTGCGCATGTGGTGAGGTAGCTGCGGATACTGTGTTTCGCCCCTGCGACGTGCACGAACCTTTTGTGATGATTTGTGACCAATGTCTGATGTCTCACCAGCTTTCGCAGGAGCTGGAGCAGCACATGGACAAAATTGATGCACGCCTGGTGCGAAACCCATTGTATCCCATTATGTTGTGCAATATTGTGCACCGCGTGACACTTCCCCAAGAGCTCAGAAATCTACGTGCGCTCCGGCACCCAGCGTACGCTCAGGAAGCTCGGCTCAGCTCCATGGAGGCCAGACACTCCGAGGACACGTCCGTGGCAGGTTTCGGAGAGAGCGGCATCTGAGGTTTCAGGTTGCGTGTGTGCGCGCGCGCGTGCGCGTGAGCGCGTGCGCGAGTGTGTGCGTGTGCGTGTGCGTGCGCGTGAGTGCGTGTGCGTGTGCGTGTGCGCGTGTGTGCGTGTGTGCGTGTGTGCGTGTGTGCGTGTGTGCGTGTGTGCGTGTGTGCGTGTGTGCGTGTGTGCGTGTGTGCGTGTGTGCGTGTGTGCGTGTGTGCGTGTGTGCGTGTGTGCGTGTGTGCGTGTGTGCGTGTGTGCGTGTGTGCGTGTGTGCGTGTGTGCGTGTGTGCGTGTGTGCGTGTGTGCGTGTGTGCGTGTGCGTGTGTGCGTGTGTGCGTGTGTGCGTGTGTGCGTGTGTGCGTGTGTGCGTGTGTGCGTGTGTGCGTGTGTGCGTGTGTGCGTGTTGCGTGTGGGCGTGTGTGCGTGGTGCGTGTGTGTGTGTGGTGTGTGTGTGTGTGTTGTGTGTGTGGTGTGTGTGTGTGTGTGTGTGTTGTGTGTGCTGTGTGTGTTGTGTGTGTGTGTGTTGTGTGTGTTGTGTGTGTTGTGTGTGTGTTGTGTGTGTTGTGTGTGTTGTGTGCGTGTTGTGGGTGTTGTGTGTGTTGTGTGTGTTGTGTGTGT